CAGAAGAAAAAGTTATAGATTCCAATAATTCGAGTAAATATTCATAGAGTAATGCTATTCATCCCCACTGGAGATGAAAACACAGTCTACATGGCGCTAATGTGACATTAAATAATATGTGAATAGTAATTCGAGTAAATATTCATAGAGTAATGCTATTCATCCCCACTGGAGATGAAAACACAGTATACAGTTATTTAATTTCACTTTTCATTTAACCTATCATTTAAGGCAACCTAAACTGTGTTTTCATTCCCATTGGGAATGAATAACATTACTCATATTTATAAATGATCCTCCATATCAGACGTAGGACAATTACCAACTCATTTAATGCAGTTTGGTTAATGATTTCATGATTAGACAGACTGCATTTTTAGGACCACATGTGTAGCATCATGGAGTACAAAATATTCCTGATGAATCCCTTTGCTTAAAAAAAGTTAAACAAGCTCAAAGAGAGGTCGAATTTATTTTTTCAGAAAAAATAATTAAAAAAAAAAAAGAACCCCACGAGTTTGTGAATGAGATTATAGTTGCAGATAAAGAGTTTTACCAGCTCAAATTTTGCCAAACATACTGTCCCCATGCTTTTCCAAACAAGAAAAAGCAAAAGCTGTACCTGTTCGGCATTAAAAATTTGGTCATCAGAACTTGCGTTTGGACATATAGAAAATGAATGAAATCGTGCTTTGACAGTTGGCTTATAATCAGACCACACCTGCAGGCACTTTGATTTTGTTTTTATATGTCTGTGGCTGTGTTTTCTGCGTAATGGGCCCCAAAACATTAGCAAAAAACTCGTGGGGAAAACTTGGAAACAGAAGGAACGAAAAGGTTTTTATTCATTTATAGAAGATAAAATAAAATAAAGCTATGGATTTGTATCAAGTATGTTGGATTAGGTAAGAATTGATGGGATCTAAGATGAGAGATGTGTGACAATAATTGTCGGGTAATGCTACATATACATAATTTTTTTTACCTAATCGTTTACCTACACTCATAATAGGGTGTGGGAACCACATTTTTGGGAGTTTTTTATTCATGAAGGCCCCGCACACATGTGAGAGACTAACATTTTCGGTAAAGAAAATTATATACAAATAGTTTTATCCATAATTGTCTAGTTCTGTTCAAAGTCAGGCATCAAACATGTACATATAAATATAAGTATTGAATCTTCATATAATTTGACATTATGCCTTACGAAGAGGTTCTCACGGAGACGGCGAGTGAGTCACTAGGGTTTCACGCACACTTGACTCATCTACGATTGTAATAGTCAAAGTCCAATAAATAACATAAATGTTAGATTAGAATTTAGAGGATTATTGTTACGCATGCTCCTCCAGAGGAGAGCAACATAGGACCTTGTTACGTGGGACCCTCATCAAATGCCTCATGGGGTTCAAGCGCCATGTAGCGCAACCAAATCCAAAAAATTCGTCTAGGCAACCTAGTGGCCGAAAGGGGTTAGTGGTAATCCTATGTCTTCCTTGGCTCCTCCAATTCATGGCTAAAGGAACAAAAAAATGTGTCATATCATTTCAAAATGATTACATGTGAGGAAAAAAGTAAAGATCATCGTCTATCGCACCTTCCACATCCGAGGGTGTGTTATACATCATTCATTTAATTTTATATATTTTATGTTATTAAAGGATGTACTAGACATGCTCCATTTATTTTTATTTTTTTAACTTATCGTCACTATCTATTCCTCTCTATTGTACAAGTGACCCACAATTTTTTCAATTCACAATGCCATTGGAGATGTTATTCTCTTCATTCCCCATTTTGCTAGCCACGCATACAACAATTTATATTGTTACGTTAATATGCTACAATACGTTTAAATAATCCCATGCCATGTATTCCCTAAAAACTGCCATTGCAGCAACGAGGTCTACAAGGATCATAAAAGGAAAAAATCACAAGGTTTTCATAAAAAACCGTGACCCAAACTTATTAATCTGCGGGCAGGTCATTGATAATCTAAAATTTTCAAAATTTATTTAGGATTTAAACTATCGCTTTTCTCTTCGGGCTTCAATGTTCACTTCTTCTAGATTTTACCTTCTCCTTTTTCTAACTTTTAGGGGTGAACATGGTTTCAATTTTTATGTGATTTTGAACTATTTTCATACCAAAAAAATTGAAACAATTTGGAAAAATTTCAAACCAAATTGAACAAAGCCTTTTTTTTTTTTGTGTGGTTCAATTTGGTTTCAAACCACGATTTTAGCGACATAAAAAATCATCTTTCAAACAAGTGAAAAATAAATATATTGGTCTAAAATATAAAAATAATAATTAAATGAAAACTTTCTAAACATAAATGTTACGATTTTAATATATTTAGCTCAATACAAGTTTAAAGAAATAAAATAATATAGTGTTTAACATTAAGTTAAGATTCTAAAATTAATTCTTTCCAAAAATATTATCACAAATCATTATTAATTTCCCTAAAAAATCAATAAAAGTCAACTAGCAATTTAGTTTGTTCAAATGTAAATTGAACTAATAAATCATATATTTTAGGTAAAACAAGTAGTTATTTTTAAAATTAAGTTTAGCCTTTCGATTTGATTTCAAACATTTTTTAACTATTGAAACCTAAATCGAATAGTTTCTAAATGGTTTGGTTCGTTCATGAATTGAAACGCTGACGTGGGCCTAAATCAATTGCTTGAAAATAGAAGTCTCGATTGGATTCGACAACTTTTTATTTTCAACCCTAATATTTATTATATAATAAAAATTACTATATTTGATAAGAGTTGGCCCACTTGTTCAAGTTCAACTACGGAGTTAGTTAATCCTTGTGTCTGCGTGGCTCAAAACTATGTATTAAGCAATTATGTATTTCCTTTTTTTTAACTAGCTTTTAATAAAAATGAAGAAATTTGTAGTTAAAAATTAATAAAAATTATGTATCGTATGAAATGTGTTATTAAAATTTATTGTTTAATACGATTTAAATTATTATCAAATTTTAATTAAACGTTAAACCAAACATGGGTAAACATGTTTGGAATTTTCGATAATTGGCACAAAACGATCTTATCTTCTACATGTTTTGTGCAAAATATCATTATCATTTCATTGTGACGTAATAAACAGTCAAACCAAGCAAGTGTTATGCAGAACAATTTTAGTGCTCGTTTTATCCATTAAAGTCTTATAAAATGACGAATGTATCCTTTAATCATAGAATCAAAATTTCAAAAAATACAAATGAATGTCAACTAAAATAATCTAAAATATATTAAAACAAAGTAATTATCTTTCCAACCATCCCACCCTCATTCCTGCTCTGGGCCGACACCGTGACAACCACCACCACAATTGGGTTCTCCAAATTCTCTGGGCTTCTCGGTGAAAATTCCGGCGGGACATAGTAATGAAATCCCAGATGTAGAATCATCCAAGAATTGCGAAAGCCCCTCCTTATTCTCCAAATCATCAACCTGTAACAAATTCAAAAGCTTGGTTACGGGAACGGAAAGTTCGCCTGAGGGTACGTTATCAATCGCGTCGGCGCCGGGAAAAGTCGAGGAAGAATTCTAATTTCTTTGTTGTGCACCCTTCTTTTGTCCATCTTCATCAAAAAACAACCTCTCTTGAAAATCCTTATGAGGAAATCAAGATTAAGAATGTCATCAACCAGAAAATCATCGCATGAACCGTTAATATTGCCAGTCAAACACCACCTATCACGGTTGAACAGCACTTGGGAATTAGCATTCGTGGAAGTTTGAGGAAGAAAGCTCGATTTCAACGCTTTTGCTTCAATGCACCCTGTTACTTCATTGCTCTTGCTTCAACTGCGTGGTGGTTGGTTAGAAATATGATTTTTTATTTTATTTTATATTTTAAATTGTTTTAATTGAGATTCATTCGGACTTTTGAAAAATTTAAAATCATGACTGCAAATTTTTTTTTATTGTTTATTTAAATAGGAAAGTAAATTCATTAGTTTACAAGGCTTCAATGGAGAAAATGGACGTCAAAATTGTACAACACAATCGTTTTGAAGGATATGATGTTTTGAACAAAACATGTAAAGGATATGAATGTTTTGTGCCTATTAAAACTTCCTTTATTTAACTCATTAATCTATTCTTTGGTCAAGTTAATATTATGTCATTGCTTTACCTATTTTTTGAGAATAAATTTTGCAAAAAGTGATTTTTTTTTAGAAAATATCTTGTTATAAAGTAAAAAAAAAAAAGTTTTTGATTTATGCATACAAATATTTTATTGAGGGAATGTGTGATTTGAAATGAATTTCAAAGAGTACTATTCAAAATGGTTGCCTTTGTTTTTTCGCTCGAGAATTGTGCAATAGATAACTATCCTTACTGCCAGGGACCTTCAAGATGTTCATATGTATGGATTGAGGAAAGTTTTGAGAGGATGGGAAAGTTTCACTGACCTCCTCTTAAGTGGAGACTGAGTAAAGCGATCGCGAGTAAAAAAAAAATAGCTTACACTATGCATGATGATAAAGAACTCGTTAAAGTACAAGGATTTTATAGTGAGAATCCTCTTTTATTCCACTCCTAATTCATAAGTAGGCTGGTTAAGTTCATCTTCGTCGGGACTCGAGATTGAGTCAGTAATAAATAGATCTTCTTTACTTGCAAAAAAAATTATTTAGATAGTATAGTAATAGGACAACTTGACTTGGTTTTTACTCGACTCAACAGCATATGCGTCATCTACCTGAACTCCCTTCTTTACCCACGCCTTATTCGTGTTTATATTCTTATTTTGTTCCTTTATCAGTCCCTTTCTTTCAATTTAATATCAAATAATTTATTGTGTGGCCTCTGATTTATATGGTAATGCTGTTATATATGCATAAATGTTCCTATGTGCTAACGTACACTCTTTTTAATATCATTAAAGTTTTCATTTCGTCTCTTTATCACTCATTGGTGTCTGATATTATCTTTTGTTCTTCATCTTTTTATCTTATTTTATCCTCCATGGAGTCTGCAGTTTCTGGGTTTTTTTGGTCTTTTGATCAAGAATTCTGCTGTTTCTTGGTCGTCACGGTTTTGTTAATCTTTTTGATCCTCTACTTTGCAAGACCGAGGGTTTGGTGCAAGTGTGAAATTTGTCAATCTTACATGAATACAAGCTGGAAAAACCACTTTGATAATCTGTGTGATTGGTATACTTATCTTCTTAAAAAATCTCCTACTCAGACTATTCATATTCATGTTCTTGATAATACTATTACTGCAAATCCTGTTAATGTTGAATATATGCTCAAAACAAGGTTTGATAATTTTCCAAAGGGGAAACCCTTTTCTGCAATCTTGGGTGACTTTCTGGGCCGGGGCATATTCAACGTGGATGGAGATTTATGGAGGTTTCAGAAGAAAATGGCGAGTCTTGAGCTTGGTCGAACATCAATAAGATCATATGCTTTCGAAGTTGTTCATCATGAGATTGAACAACGGTTGGTACCCCTTTTAGAATCTGTAAAAGGGAAAGAAGATATATTTATAGATTTACAAGATGTTTTTCGACGATTTTGTTTTGATAGTATTTGCAGATTTTCATTTGGTTTAGACCCTAAGTGTTTGGAATTGACCTTACCTATATCAAAATTTGCTGTTTCTTTCGACCTAGCATCAAAACTGTCTGCTGAAAGAGCCATGACTGTCTCTCCACTTGTTTGGAAGATGAGACGGCTTTTAAACATTGGAGATGAGAAAAAGCTTCGAAAATCAATCAAGATGATCAACAAATTAGCCCAAGAGGTCATAAATCAAAGGCGAAAATTCGGGTTTTCTGATCAAGAAGATCTCCTGTCAAGATTCATGACTTCTGTTAGTGATGAAACATTTCTCAGGGATATTGTGGTTAGCTTCCTCTTGGCCGGCCGTGACACAGTGGCATCTGTCTTGACAAGCTTTTTCTGGCTAATGGCAAACCACCCAGAGGTGGAGGCAGCCATTCTAGTCGAGGCTGATCGAGTTATTGGGCAAAACAAGGAGATTACAAGCTATGAACAAATGAAAGAACTTCATTATTTGCATGCAGCAATGTATGAGAGCATGAGATTGTATCCACCTATACAATTTGATTCAAAATTCTGCTTAGAGGACGATGTTTTACCTGATGGGACGACGGTGAAGAAGGGGAGGAGGGTTACTTATCATCCATACGCAATGGGCAGAAGTGAGGAGCTATGGGGCACAGATTGCTTAGAATTCAAGCCAGAAAGATGGTTAAAAGATGGGGTTTTCTTTCCAGAAAACCCTTTTAAATTCCCAGTTTTTCAAGCAGGAATTAGGGTGTGTTTGGGGAAAGAAATGGCACTTGTGGAACTCAAAAGTGTTGCAATTTCATTGTTGAATCGTTTCCATATTGAATTAGCACCTCCGCAAACCACTACTCCCCGGTTCTCCCCAGGACTGACAGCCACCTTTCACGGTGGTTTACAGGTTCTGGTTCGAGCTCAAAGTGGTCCAAGCACCCTGAAAAATGTCTATTCCGCCGTAAAATAGGACAGAACTATATGTGCTATCGAGACTGATTAAGGTTGCCAGTTGTGTACAAAATGAAGGTGCCTAGATGTGGATGAGTGGATCATCATCTTGTAGCCTGTATGGCTGTATCTCAAGTTAGTACTGTGGGTTCTTTATGTTGTACAGATTGATTGGCTTGTAGCTGCTGCTGCTTTTTGACTGTACATACAAGCATTAATGTTTGTTAAATACGTATTCATTGTATCTGCAATTTAGGGTTTGTATTAATTAGGTTAATTAATCCTGATATTTCTCGTGGCGAATCTACTGTTTTATTTATGGGTTGTGCTAGTGGTACATCACACTCTACATAAGGGTATCCACCACTAGCATTGTTCTTTATTTATATCTTCAATTTATCATCAGGAATATTAATTTTCCGTCAAAAGTTTTGCTTCTAAATTTCATGAATGGTGACACCGATGATACTTGAACTTAGAATCTATGTATAAGCTGGTACTATATTGAATCTCGTATAATAAAAACTTTAAATCGATAAAGAATTGAAAGAGATTCGTTTAGTTTATATTTATAAAACCATTTACTTAGCTCCTTGTTTGATCTCCATTTTCACGAAAAGTAAGTTTTGTAATAGTGATTTTTTGGAGAATGTATAATTAAGAAGTAGAAAAAGATTTTGGATTTACGTTTAAATTATTTTATTAGGGGAATGTAGACTGAAAAGAACTAAAAAAAATACGAGTTTTTGAATAATGAAGCTTAAATAGTGACTTAATGTTTGACATATAACATAACTAGCTAATGTCAAAACACACTAGCCAATGGCATCTTGACTTTAGGATAGATTTTTTCAAAACCTCAAATGGACAAGGTTAGACATGATAAAAGGTAAGCAGTTGCAAATGAAATGTTTGTTCACAATTATTCTTAACATAAAAATAAGGTTTTCGCTTTGATATATATTACAATGTTGCAAGTATTTTGATTAAATCTGAATTTGATTTGTTTAAAAAGGTCGAAGTTGGAATGCTGCCAATAGGCTTTAACATGTGTGTTTTGTCATGAAATTCACTAGGAATATTGAAACTTCCTTACGTCGGCATACTGTTAGGCGACTATGATTTATATTTAAGTACCCGATTGACAGGATTTTTAAAAGTTTTAGGATTAAGAGGTTGCTTTTGAATAGATTTGAATTTTTTTGTTTAAGTACGTTATCTCTAATTAGAAGAGTTTTTAGAAAAAAATGGTCTAAGATAGTTTTTTTATGAATTTTTTATACAAGAAGTAGAATCAAAAGTAGAACGACAGCTCTTGTACGCTGGCCAGTTGAGACACATCCCGCGATTTACCTCCTCCACCATGCTTTAGGATCGGGGTTCAACCTTTAAGTAGAATCAAAAGTGACAATCTTGCTAATTGGACCTAGTAGTACTATTTTATAGCAAGTGGATCATCATGTAGCCTTGTGGGGAAGATGCGCTTGTGAGTCTCGACGAAAATTTTGAGAACCAAATGAATTAAACCAATCCAAATCGTCCTTTATCTTGGGGTGGTATTGGATTAGATCTCAAGAAAATATTATTTCAATAAATCGAATCGAACCATGTACATTGCTACCTATAATGACGTGTTTTTCTATTAACATATAATCTATGTTTGTTAGTATTGCAAATTCTGAAAGCTGACTAAGAGTAACTGAAATATTTGTATTTTACATAGAATAATGATATCTAGTGTCAGTGATGTTAGAACACCGGTATAAGTGTCACCATGTAATGTGGTCAATGAAAGGTGGAATCTTGTCACTCATTTAATTATTCCTTCATTTAATGACATTTAAAACCACCTAAATTGATATTGTAACATCATTAGTGATGTTAAATAACATTAATCTTTTGTGTACGTACATATCCATGTGTGGAGATTTGTATCCAATGAAAGAAGTTGAAAATTGGTACATGTACAGATGGATACAAGTTGGCATAATAATAATAATAATTAAAAAAAAAAAAATAGAACTCGTGTGTGGGTAATAATAATAAGGACAATGCCACATGTACCTACACTTTTTTACCTAGAGTGTGTTTGGTAGGGATTTTTGGTAGAAGAATTGATTTTTGAATAATGATATGATGGGAAATGTGTGGTTGAAAAAGAAGAAAAGATTATTGATGTGATAGAAAATATTATTTTATTGAAGAATGTGTGGTTGAAAATGAGAATTGATTTACTGTAAAAAATG